TTAATCTAATGACATTGATTTTAAATTAATAAGATTATCTCCTGAATTGCAGTTTTGACCTTCAAAGATTTATATATATATATATATATATATATGTGGATATGGAGATTGACGGGCAATAATGGATTGGTGGTAGAGTGCACGCATGTTGACGTGAATATGTCTTATCTAAGATTAATCCCTTCATACTTTACAACCAAAATTTAGACATTTTAAACTGAACATTCCGATAGAAGTGGTTGACTCCAAATTTTAAAGCATTTGAATTTTATTAATTGAGGTTTTAAATCTTAACAATATTTTTAAAGAAAATTCTCTCTACCTTAAATTGTGAACTGCTAAAAAAAAAAAAAAAAAGATCCAGGTAGCCTCTTTCTCAATGTTTGTGTCAATTTCTTTTGAACGGTTATAATTTAGGGAAGTGGACCAATTGTTTAAAATCCAATTCGAGACATTGGTTAATTGAATTTGACCGAATTTTGACCAGGTTAAAGTAAATTTGACCAAATTTTGATCCCTTTATTTTAGGTTTGTTTGGTAACTCCTTGCTGCCTTCTTTTTTGGTTTTTGTCCCTTTTTTTTTAATTAATTTTTTAATATTTAAAAATCATATTAGATTCAATTATTTCAAAATTAAATTATGTTATATTTTGTAAAAAAACAACTTTTTTGATATTTATTTTTTTATTCATAAAATTCAAAGTTAAATAAATTGTTAAAAAAAAAAAAAGAAGACAGTCCCTTTCCCAATGTTCGTGTCAATTTCTTTTGAACGGTTATAATTTAGGTTAAATGTTAAATTTGGTTTCTTAACTTTAGTGAGTTGCACATTTTTGGTCCCTCAATAATTTTTTGCACTTTTTTAATCTTTCAACTATACGAAATGCACTCCGTTAGTCCTTCTATTAGTTTGGGCCGTTAACTCTGCTTAGGTGGCATTTTTTATATTTTTTTTGATGATGTGGAGAGCAAAACTTAAAAAAATGATGATTTGCATAAAACTTTTGTCATGTCACATGCTACCTGGCGAAAACACACCAATTCCATCCAAATGGGTCCCACATCACCACTAAGAATTGTTTCTTTCCCCATCCGTTACTGTTTCTATTCTTTTCATAAACAGTGTTCTTTCCATTTTCAAGATTGAAGTTCGACAGAACAAAACCCAACAAATACGTTCCATCGAACCCAGCTC